GAATCTAGTGCCAGAAATACCCTATTATAACACAAACATTCTGCACATAACGTAAAATTATATTTTTAATAAAATGTCATTCATTTTTATTTTCTTCTTCAACTGCTACTTTAATTTAAAAAAAAGCAAAAAAAAAAAAAAGCAAAGCAACTATCACATTTTAGAATGAAGAGCCAGCAAAAAGTAACATATTATTTGGACAAGCTCCTTAAACTACAGAAGCCAGCTGGAGTGTGTCTAGAATCTTAGCCTAGTTAGTACAAATGACTTAAATAGAAACTATGTAGCTATGTCATGATAACTAATAGCATTTCAGTTTTTTTTTACAGTTCCAGGCAGAATGTGGAAGGTTCCTATGACACTAAGTTCAATCACCAGAATCAAAATAATGAGAATCTACAATCCTGCCAAAATGTTGACTTGCCGGAATGTGAACTTTTCATTCTGCTATTTATAGAAGATCCTTAAAGTTATTGCACTTTAAATTTTTTCACAAAATGATCCATGTTAGTTGTTGAAATTAAACTATACTAAAACAGCTAAATTTAAAAATGTTTGCATCTACATGGAAATGCAATAAGTAAGGTAAAAAATCCCATCCTTGCTTAACTTTAATGTGTGCGAGCTTAGAAATAAAAGTGAACTAATCAAGATACTCCAGAACAAATATAAATTGTGGGATGGTATATATCTCAATAAAATCCGCACAATATAGAATGAAACAAGTTTAAAACAGCCTTTTTTGTCTTAAATGAAATACATTATGCTTATTTTGCTTGATGCGTTAAATCTTAGGGTGGTTTTATCAAGATGAAACTTGATAAAGGACCCCAGGGGAAGAAATACAAGCTCATTATACCTAAATATGTTTTTCACTTATGATAAGGCTTGCGAGTTTAATATTTTTTTTTTACAGAAACAAAAATGTTTAACATTTTAAAGGCCGTAGACAGCCTTCAGAAAGAAGGACAAAAAAACTAAAGTAGGAACTATATATCCATTGTAATAACGTTAATAAATAAATTATTATAATTAATATATGAAAGTAAATGTACAGCAATATTTTAACAAATGCTTATTTTATAATGGTAAAAACTAAAATATGACTGATTTACTTTATCATGTACGTGGCATGCACAGCAACACAGCCGTCAATGCAATAAACGCAGAGCAGCCTGTTAACAGCAGCTGAACGCATTGGTTGTCACAATTCACAGATGGTATTGCATTAACATATATGCATAACACACAGGTAGGCTTGAAATAGATCACTGACATAATCTCTCATAGCTTCCAAAAAAAAAAAAACAACATAATGGAGCAATTTAACAACATGATGGAAGATGCAAAACACTACTTTACAGCTCCTCTTATATGCTCAGGGTCTGCACTGAAAACAAAGTAAGGACATGATCTGCTTAAGCACTTTCCGTTCTACGTAAAAACAACTGCAGAAGCTGCAAATCCTGCAAATTATCTACACAATGTATTCAAAATAGTAAGACACGTGCTAGTGATACAGACAAAAAGACGATGAGGTACACACACAGACAGTAAAATAGATGATAGAATACAGACAAATAAAGCGATGACCCTGTTAAATATAGAATGGCTTTGTTTAATAAGGAACAAGCACATACATAAAAGACAAATATAGTTTGTATGCTTACTATAAATGGATATGTGTTGTATATGTAAAAATAAATAAATAAGCAGTTAAACCAAAGTACAGCTAGTGTCACGGAAGGCCATAATTATCCGAACAGTCTTGTATGGTTGGTGCTCATGTTTCCTGAAGCATAGCATCATATACTCAAGGAAGGAATTGCAAAACTGCAAATTCATTTATCTTCCAAAGTACTTACTATCAAGAGACTGAAAATGTCTTTCAAAGCAGATATTGTTGAACGTGACAAGACAGACCAACTTTCTAAATAGTTATTACATATAAATAAATTAACAAATTATGAACCTATTTAATCAACATTTAATACACAACCCGAAAACTGGCAAAATTGAATCTTCAGGACCAGTATTTCTCAAAGTTTTTGGCTGTGACCCCGAACACAGAATTTTTTGGCCTGGCAACCCTTGGCAAACTTAATTTTATGGGTGAGTTCTTCACAATTTGGCTTTATGTTGATAGATAGAGCACAGAGCAAATCATGCTGAGGATTGAGACTGTTCCTAGATTTAGTCCTTATCGATCACAAATTCACACATTTACACTCACAGACTAAACCACGTACACCCAAGATTCACACACTCACAGAAACACACACATAAGCTCACAGATACACAATTGTAATCGCTTATTGTTATTTATGTTTTTTTCCACAATAAAAGATCATTAATGTCAAAAATAAAAAAAATTTAAAATATAGCTAAATATCATTGTATGCTAGTGAATTTATTATGTTAATGCCCTTGAGTTACTTGACCCTGGGTGGCTTCCCTCGGGTCTAGCGATACCAGTTGGATCCAGTGATATATGCCAATGTTAACTCTTCCTTCTTGGGTAGCTGCCATAGAATGCTGGGAGGAAGTGACATAAGATCCTCCCAGAAATGCCACAGATGAGGAAACGACAACAGCTTCCTGCGCCCACCAACCTGCCTCCCCCTACCAGGTGGCCGGCCTTCCATGGTGCATGTGCCCTCTGCATTCACACAAATCACACACCCCTCAGGCTGTCCCCCTATCCTGTGACCCACAGGAAGATGCTTTTGCCTTGAGACCCTCATTTCATGAAGTGGTCTGGGTATTGTGCTCCTGTTTGTTCAAACTTGCATTGTGAAATATTGCAGTTCTGTTGGAACAGCAACGGTTACATTGCAGGTTTAAGACAGTGAAAATGACTGTCTTACTTACAGCAATTACCTGTGCTTCCTCTGCTTTTACTGAGTAAGTAAGTATGGCAAGCGTTCCTTTTTGACAATTGTGATACACACAATACTATATTTTTTTGTGACCTATCAAGTTAATTAGCTAAACCAGATCTTATCTAACTATTCTGAAAAGCATGAACTCTTCAACTTTGTTAGGAGCTTTCAGTACAATTAGAATAAATATTTAACCAGCAAAATAAAATATTACTTTTTCATACATAAATTATTATAACAAACATTTTATTAAATAAAAAAAAATTTGGCCTGTACTAACATGATATTAAACACTAATCTGACAAATAGCCTGTAAATACTTGTCACAAAAATGTTTAAAACAATATTAATATTTGTATTATGACATCCTTGTAAATTAACTCAGAATCTGACGTTTTTCCTCAGCAGTTTGAGAGCTTAAATTAACTCTATAGTGTCGGTGATACAAACATGTATTCCTGACACTACAGTCCTGAAGAGGCTGTTAGGTCACAGGCCCCTTCTTCCACACTGTGACGATTTCATCACGGCTAGCCTTGCCTGGTTTCGTCTCCATGGCTGAGATCATCAATCTTGATGATCTCAGCCAATCCAATGTTTTCCTATAGGAAAGCATCGGGAGGCTATTGCACATGTGCAGAAAAACACCACTCTGACCAGCAAGCATCTCTTCCTAGAGATGCATTAAATCAATGCATCTTTCTGAGGAATGTTCAGGGTATCCATGCAGATCATCGAGACACTGAATACCAGTGCTGCACAGGACTAAGAAGCACCTCTAGTATCTGAGTGACTGCCACTAGAGGTGTTACTAGTTACCAATGTAAACACTGAATTTTCTCTGAATCAATGAATCTCTATGAGGAATGCTCAGCGCCTTAATGCAGAACGTGGAAACACTGAACGTCAGTGCTGCACATTGTGTAGCACTGATTCAGGAAGCACCTATAATGGCTGAAAAGGCAGTATTTACAATAAAAAGTGTGCAGGGAGCTGTAGTTGTACTGGTGACTATAGTGTCTCTTTAACTATGTTAACCCCATGCACTGCTCAGTTGTTTTCAGAAAATATATAAAAAGATTATAATATATTCTAAATATGGGACACACAGCTAGCAGAGTCTCTTTTGAAACAAACTTTATCTATGCAGAGTACAAATTGCTGTTCGGGAATGTGAAAAATAAAATATAGATTTTTTACTGATTTTTTGCATTTTTTTTTATTTTTTTTTATTTTATGTTTTGCAGAATTATTAGTAGGTATAAGTAAAACATCAGTTATATGAAAGGGTTGCGCCCACCAAAAACAAGTGTTTTCATAAAGCTGTGATGGTCTGTCCTCCAAATCCAAGACAAATAAAGCTTAACCCCTTAAGGACCAAACTTCTTGAATAAAAGGGAGTCATGACATGTCACACATGTCATGTGTCCTTAAAGGGTTAAACATACCTGGTTTTCCATGACCACCTTCAAGTTCTCCCCTCAGCCTGATCCTCCTTAATTGACATCACACCTCCCCCTAAAGGGGAGGTAGGTAAGGTAGGACAGATTTAGGGAAGGACTGGGGCAGCACAAAGGTGAGTTATTGCTGCTCGTGTCATATGCCAGTTTTACACAATTGATATTAGCCAGCCTGGACAAGCTTATGACTCTGCTTGTGGTGGAGTTGAAATTGCAGCTGAAGGGTTAATATTCATATGTGCTGTGTTTCAAAGTGAGATGCTGCACATACACACTCCAGGCACCATGATCACTTCAAGTCAGTGAAGTGGTCATGGTGATTGGCTTAACCCTTTAATATAATACGGGGGAGGCACTAAAACTATCAATTATATATAACTTTTTTGAGTATGTGTAAGAAGTCTGCTGGTAATTTTGGGAAAACAGGTTTGACTAAGCATAATGGTAGTTGTAGTCCAAGCTGTTTCCAGGTCTGCATTGTGTCAATAAAGTTGGCTTGTGACACACTGATAACTGTACCAGCAGCAGCCCCTTGGGCTAAACAATGAACTTTACACATCCAAAATGCCCAATAAACTTGCTGTCCTATGTTGCTAAGTGTATATATGACAGCTACAAATCAGAAAAAGAGACATTGTTTAAAGCACTTACCAGTATGCAGTATGTATCCAGAATCCAGCTCTGAGAGGAGGAGGCAGAGGAACTGACTCCAAGGAGGAAATTCGGGGAATTTTGCAGATTCTTGAAAGTGGTGAAGATGAGAAAACAGCACAACCACTGCAAAAAAATAAAAGAATTTCTCCCAACTTAAAAGGTAACTTGTTGCAATGAGTCACTGAGATTGCTGGAAGCGGAAATGGTTGGGGGAGAGAGAGAAACAGCAACAGGCAGCTGTGGCATTAAAAGTGCAGGCACATAAGAGATTTAGTTTCACTGTAGTCAGGGTCAGTAATGTCTGGGGCTCCTCCTTTCCTAGTGACTGTACATTATGTTCCTCCTTCCTATGTACTAAAAACCCTCCCACCTTTTCCATAGCCATCCCATCTCTCAATCTGCATGCAACTAGAGCTCTTCCTCCTAATGACAGAGCTCTCCAGATACACACTGCCCTAACACACATTCCCCAAAGATTAAAAGCATTTTAGATCAAAAGACCCCCTTAGCCACGAACCAAACAAAACAATGCTACAGCATGGCATTTTATAAACTCCCAAACATAGACAGTTTAACTTGGAAATAAAAGAAAGCTTTTCACCAATTCTCATTTATGAATTTCCATTTTCTTTTGCCAAAATACTTTGGATTTCTTAATCATGCATTTTTCTTTCAGTTTGGGCTAAACTAGCCAAGTTGGAAAATAGCTGAGTTAGACAATTTTTTTAGTTGAGCTGTTTTTTTGGCTGTCATTTTCCCAGATGAGGTTTTCCAATTCAGTAGAATTCTAGTGTTTAGATAATGAATCCCGAAGTTATTTTTAGATAATACTGGTAACTTTCAGGATCTAATTTTGGTTGTTCTGATAAGGGAAATGTGTTTCAAGTAAATACACATGTTTTCAGTTTAAATGACACATGCATTGCCAGTTGGCTGAAATACTATACAGCGTCACAATCATTCAACCACAATGTTAATAACTGATATAAAGAAATAATATCATTCTCCATCAAACACAGGAAAATACATATTTTTGTTTACTAGATATAATAGTTATGTACATAATAAATACGCATTTGAAATAATAATTATAAAAATATAGCTTAAATCCAATTATCAACATTTAGTGCGTTTTATTACATTGCAGTGCTATATACTAAACACTGAGACTGGCTGTGATCTCTCATTCCTTTTAATGACACAATGGATAATGCATGTTTACTAATTTCTCAAAGACGGTACCACTTGTATAATTTAGTCCAAAGCTGCATTTTACTAAAAGAGTAGACAAGTGAAACCTGCCTGTGATGTGAAAGGTAAAAAAAAAAAAACACTGTCTACCAATGGCTTCCACTCACTTGTAAACATGTTTTTTATTAATTAATTTTTATTTTTTATTTTTTTTATGATGAAATGTTTCTGTCTGCTGACAGGAATATGCAAACGTTGCCTGACATTAATGTCATGCAATAGTCAAAAACATACAACTTTTTATAGACTGTATGAAGGATGACTGAGCTTCATGGACTATATTATAGTATCTCGTTATCTAGGAACACAGTGGGTGCCAGGGCTACAGGGGTTGGTTGAAAGGTTAGGTAGTCAGAAGGAGTTGTACCAGGCAAGGCTGCACTGGATTCTCCATCAACCCCAAGGCAAATATGGCATCTACTTGCAATGTTGGCTTAGTCAGTCTGCAGCTCCACAAGCTGGTTTGGAGATTGACGTAGAAACAATTTACTACCGTGTACAGGTAGGGGTGCATATTACTAAGAGGTACAGAAAAAACAGGAAAGGTGGTGGGATATGTTTGTATGTCAACCATGAGTTAAAGCCAAATCTTAAGCAAGTGGAATGTTATGAGGAAGATGTGGAAGCTTTATGGGTAGATATCTGCTTGGGGCAAAAGAAGGGAAATCAATTATTGGTTGGGATATGTTATAAACCACCTAACGTTAATATTGATGAGGAACAACAGCTGTTTGAGCAAATTGAGAAAGCTGCAAATCCAGGTAACACGATAATTATTGGAGATTTTAATTACCCGGACATAAATTGGAACAGAGGGACTAGTAGTTCAGCAAAGGGAATTAGGTTTTTGAACTTGTAAATGTCAGCTTCATGTCACAACTTGTACAAGGACACTTGTCTGGACCTGGTTCTAACAAACAACGTTGATCTTTTGACCAACATTCAAGTAGGTGAGCACTTGGGAAATAGTGATCACAATATAGTGTCCTTTGAAATAAACTTAAAAATACAAAAGCACATGGGGTATACTAAAACATATAATTTTAAAAAGGACAATTTCTATAAGTTAAGGTCAGCTTTACAATATATTGACAGACATAAACTCTTTAGTGAAAAGAACACTGAGGATAAATGGAACATCTTCCAACAAATATTAGAAAGGTACATTTCTCAGTATGTACCATTGGGTAATAAATATAAAATAAACAAATTTAAACCAATGTGGCTTAGTAAAGAAGTAAAACAAGAGATTCAAAATAAGAAAAGGGTATTTAAGGCATTTGAATCGGACAAATCAGAGGCATCCTATAAAAGATATAAGGAAGCCAATAATGTGTACAAAAAGGTGATTAGATTTGCTAAACTTCAAAATGAAAAAATGATAGCCAAAGAGAGTAAAACCAACCCAAAGCATTTTTTAAGTACATAAATTCTAAAAATGCAAAAAATGAAAGTGTAAGTACACTAAAAACTGGAATGGGGGTGTTAGTTAATGAAGACTAGGAAAAGGCAGAAATTTTAAATAACTATTTCTCCTCTGTATATATTAAGAAAGAACCCATGGCAATAGATGTGCAAATGATTGCTGCTAAAAACTTGCAGAGAAATTGTACTTGGTTAACGCAAGACAAAGTGCTGTAGCAGCTAAAGAAAGTGAATATAAACAACGCTCCAGGGCCTGACGGTATTTATCCACGAGTACTTAAGGAACTAAGTGTAGAAATAAGTGAACCTCTGTTTTTAACCTTTCAAGATTATTTTCTTTCAGGAAGTGTTCCAGAGGATTGGAGGAAGGCAGATGTGGTTCCTATATTCAAAAAGGGTTTGAAATCATTGCCTGGAAATTATAGACCTGCAAGCTTAACTTATGTGGCTGGAAAAGTATTTGAAAGGTTATTAAGGGATAATATTCAAGAATTCCTTGAGAAGAACATGGCTATCAGCAAAAATCATCATGGTTATGTCAAACTAACTTGATTGTATTCTACGAAGAAGTAAGTAGAAGTATAGATCAGGGTGTTGCATTGGATGTCATCTATTTGAATTCTGACAAGGCATTTTATACAGTTCCACACAATAGATTAGTGTTCAAACTCAAAGAAATCAGTCTAGATGAAAATTCTTGTTCTTGGGTAGAACATTAACTTAACAATAGAGTACAAAGACCAAAGAGTTGTCATTAATGGTAAATTTTCAAGCTGGACAGAGGTGGTAAGTGGTGTCCCTCAGGGTTCAGTTCTGGGACCCCTTCTATTTAACATGTTTATAAATGATCTTGAAAAAAGCATTGAAAGTCATGTTTCAGTGTTTGCAGATGACACAAAACTCTGTAAAGTAATACAATGTGAGCAAGATATTACTTTGCTGCAGAGGGATTTAGATAGAGGGGACTGGGCACTCAAATGGCAGATGAAATTTAATGTTGAAAAATGCAAAGTTATGCACTTCGGCATAAAGAATATACAAGCAACGTATACCCTTAATGGAAGCGAATTAGGGATAACAACACACGAAAAGGACTTGGGAATTGTTATAGACAACAAACTATGCAACAATGTGCAATGTCAATCAGTAGTGGCTAAAGCCAGTAAGGTAATGTCATGCATGAAAAAGGGCATTCATTCTCGGGACGAGAATATCATTTTGCCTCTTTATAAATCACTGGTAAAACCACATATTGAATATGCTGTGCAATTTTGGGAACCTGTTTTAAAGAAGGATATTATGGCACTAGAAAATTGCAGGGGTGGACTACAAAATTAATAAAAGGAATGGAACATATCAGCTATGAAGAAAGGTTAACAAATTTAAACCTCTTTAGTTTAGAAGAACGTCATAGCTTCTTGATCCAAGGATTAATCTGGCTGCCATTCTGTGGTCAAGAATGATTTCCCCCCTAGTTTGTTGCAAAATTGGAAGTGCTTCAAACTGTTTATTTTTTTTTTTTTTGCCTTCTTTTGGATCAACAGCAAAAAAACAAATGTGAGGAAGGCTGAAATTGATGGATGCAAGTCTCTTTTCTGCTATGTAACTATGTAACTATGAGTGGAGCCGAATGTGCATGCGTGGCCAGAGGCATGCTTTCCTATGGAGATCTTTCTTAACACTGTAGGAACGTGAGGATGTCCAGCGTCAAATAAGTGCGATTTACTCAGTGTAAATCGCGGAAGTGCCTCTAATGGCTGTCAGGGAGTTTCTCTGAAACTGCTCTGTTTTCAGCTGCAGGGTTAAAACTAGGGGGACCTGGCACCCAGACCACTTTATTGAGCTGAAGTTGCATGGGTGCCTACAGTGGTCCTTTAAATTAATCATATTTTTGCTCCTCTATTTCTCCTCAAAAGAAGGGCAACATTGTATACGTATACAGTACTGCTACACTTAGCCCTCAGCTAAGCAGTGCTCAATACCAAAGTTCAACTATTAAAGTTATAAGAAACAGGGGTTAGATCCAGAGAAAAATTATAGGAAGGTCACCAGAGCTTAGTGGTGTACTAGCAAAACCATTAACAGATTTATTTAACCAATCATTGTTAACAGGAGTAGTCCCAGAAGATTGGAAGTTAGCGAATGTTGTGCCCACTTACAAGAAAGGTAATAGGGAGGAGTCGGGCAACTATAGGCCAGTAAGCCTTACTTCAGTAGTGGGGAAAGTGATGGAAACCATGTTAAAGGATAGGATTGAGGAACATCTAAAAACACATGGATTTCAAGATCAGAGACAACATGGGTTTACTTCAGGGAGATCATGCCAAACTAATCTTATTGATTTTTTTGATTGGGTAACTAAAATTATAGATCAGGGTGGTGCAGTAGACATTGCTTACCTAGATTTCAGTAAGGCTTTTGACACTGTTGCACATAGAAGGCTTATCAATAAACTGCAATCTTTAAGTTTGGATTCAAATATTGTTGAATGGGTAAGGCAGTGGCTGAGTGACAGGCAACAGAGGGTTGTAGTTAATGGAATATATTCG